GCAGCTGCCCTCTCCGTTCCCCGGCTGGGCAGGTTTGGGGTGCTCTGCGCCCCCCCGCCCCTTACCCACGCAGCGCCTGGGCCAGCGCGCAGAGCTGAAAGAAAGCCCCTCAGCCCGGCAGAGCGGAGCTGCAGGTGGGCCCACAGGTGAGGCAGGTTTGTGTCAGGTCAGGGCCTCGCTGCGGTCAGCAGTGGGCAGAGGAGGTGGCCGTCGGGCTCCGTCAGTTGGTTTCGCCAGAGCGCTGAGCAGCTGCTGGGTCGCGGGGAGCAGAGCTGCAGGTGGGCTCACAGCTGAGGCAAGGTCTGTATCAGCTCAGGGAGGTCCTGGGGCCTGTCCCTCCGGCTGGGGCTGTTGTGAAGCCCTTCTCCTCCATCTCATTTCCCTACTCGGCTCTCCTACCTGAAAAAGTAACTGCAAACACCTGCCTCAAGTGTTGCTCCTGCAGGGCATCCGAGGGAGGACAACGTTGCTGTGGTTTTTCTTACCTCTGTTAAAATCAGGCTGTCTCTCTTTGAGAGCAGAACTGGCCCTTTATTTCTAGAGGGTTAGGATTTCTTTCTCCAATTGCGGTTAAGGTATTTGGAGGTATTTTTCTGAAAGCAGTAACCAGGGGTGTAGTGTGGCCCCTTCTCTGCTTTTCTTCTTCACAGGGGTTGTCTTTGTTTTACCCAGTCCAGCGCAGCAAGTCTGCTGTGGGTGACACAGCAGTCTGGGACTGATCCCTTACTCCAATCCATGCTATCATTTATGGTCTGGATGAGAGTGTGAAGGAACCTATTATCAAAATCCTAACATGCAAGGGATGAGTGAGCTGGTTTCTAAATACTTTTCTTGACCAGGCTTGAACCTCAACTGAGAACACAAGGCTGAACTCAAGAGTTTTTGTGGATCTTGATTTGTTTCCGATTTCCGCCTTTTGGGTTCCTGTCTATACAAAATGCCCAAATTAGAAAGAGCAATACGGACATGTAGCCCTGAAGGAGAATCTCTGCTGGAAACCACCTAATGTTTTATTAACAATTTGCCCCATGCAAATAAGTGAATAATAGATGAGTGTGGCGCTGGTGGAACATGAGAAACTGGCAGTGGAGTGTGTTCGCAAGGTGACAAGCAGGTTGCAGGCATTTGTGATAAATAGTCATGAGTGGGACAAAGCCTCCTTAACACCTTGCATAATAGCTCTGCTGACAGGCATGAGAATACATTTTAAACACATTTTAAAGCAAAGCAACCTGGAACTGGACCAAAGGTTGGTGTCCTTACCGTGAAACCTGGAAATCCTTTGGCAGAGTAGACTCTGCCATCACGCTCTTTCTTGTGAAAAGAGTTTCCGTAAGAGTAGCTCTGATTGAGGCTAGGTGGGGAAGAGAGGAAAAATGCATTGTTCTATGTAGCAGGATGCTGCAAATACTGAAACAAGAAAATGGGGTGGCTTTGGACCGTAGCCTGATCAAATTCTGCTGGTACCAATGGCTTTGGACATGGCTCAGGCATGTTATCATGTTGCTAGTGTTTGTCCTGTTAAAATTTCAAAGATATGGCAGCGCCAGCAGAACTGAGCCACAGGGCTTAACTGGGAAATGTGCCGCATTTACTGTCACATTGAAGGCTTGGACCGCAAGGATGAGGACTCCAGTTGCTCTCAAAAGGAACAGCTTCTGTTTTGATTACTACAGTTTATTTTTTTTTTAGTAGTCAGAATTAGTGCTATTACCATCTGTATTTGGGACAGCTCTTAAGCACTTGATAACTCTATTCAGAAGTGTCGCCCATTGATCTGGTAAGCCCAGAGCCATGCTCAGCTATTCCGTGTATCCTGTGGTCAGACCTTCCACTGATGGCCCCATAGGAGCGCAAAACCAAAGGGGACTATCTGGTTCAAAACAGTCTCCTGAAGTTATTGGCAACTATGGAATAAACTGCCTGGCTATGGCACTGAATTGTGGCCTCTCTCCAGCTGTGACTCCTCCTGCATTAGGCACAGCTGGCCCACAAACCACTGATGAGGCAAAGTGCTGCAGTCTAGGCTGTGGGGCTCTGGCATGAGAGAGGCTGGCGGACTGTAAGGGGGAAGGAACAATTCCTGCGGCTGGACTTGAGGACTGAGAGGTGTTGGAGTCCTATGTGGGTGCAGGGCTGTGCAGAGGGCAATGCCTAGGGAAGGGTGTGTTTTTCTGGAGGCGTGAAGAAACAGGGATTCTGAGCACAGGGGCAGAGTTGTGTGCTGCGATGGATTGGAGGTATGGGAATCACTGCCCCATGGAGGAGTAAGTTCCCTTTTTTCAGTTGTGCTGTGATGTGCCCGCAGTGTAAACTAGCTCTGGAGGATGTTAGCAGGCTGTGCGAGATAGTGAGCGTCTACCCCAGTTCAATGGGACAAAATGTTCCATGGTGTCTCCCAACAGCCTGGAGACTTACAAAAGCTATGCGGTTCAGAAAGAGGGCAGGGGATATCAAAGATGGCCTAAATCAGAGGAAGGTGGGGATAATAATCTACTGCAGAAACCAGACAGCCTTTCATTAACAGGCCATTAGCAGATGAGGACTTGCTTGATGGCCTTCTGTCATTTTTCTGGAGCTGAAGGGCTTAGTGGATGCTCTTAGGTTTAGTCAGGGCTGTTTCCAGGAGAAATGGGGGACTCTGGGATACCTAGAGGTTCAACATAGTCACTGAAGTAAACCAACCTAGAAGAAGGTGTGGTGATGATGCTTACGACACCTCTCCAGCCAGGAGGCTAAAAGCTGCTGGGAACAGCATCTAAGGATTTCAGGGGCTGTGTTGGAGGTCCGAATTGTCCACAGTTAGAGAGGCCTCTTTCCAAACTGTGGTGACACTTGTGAGCATGTCCCTTTGAATGCTTTGGCATTGCCCCACTGAATTACAAGCTTTTTCTGCCACGGTTCTGCAGTAAGAGTAGAGCTGTCCCCTTGTCCTGGATTGCCTGCCTATGTGGCTCGTCTTGCTCCCTTTCTAAAGGGATTCCTGTTTCTGATGAGACTTCGGCAAAAGCTACTCCCTAGTCCAGAGAAATCACACGTGATTCTTGGATTACACCACCAGATTCAATACTTATATGAAAAAAAGTTCTCATAATTTTGTTCCATGCTGGATCAAAGGCAGCTACTGTGAGAACACGTCTGTATAAATTGTGGCTGTTATCAGCTCACGAAACAGTGGAATTTCATTGTGCTCAAGTGTGACCTTTCATGTTCTTCCTCAACCTTGCGTGGTATATATGGGAGGAAGCCAGTTTTCATTACGGTTTAAACTCCAGTCTGCGTATTCAGTCAAGAATTGAAAACACATGGCTTTATTATGTAGGGTTTTTTTGGGGGCATTAAATACTTAAACTGTAGTGGCAGCTTCCAGGGACTTTCTGTCCGAATTTCAGCATGCCTTCAAAAGGAAGTCAAGCAAGTGTTTTATAAGAGAGCAAACAGTCCTGCAGCGAACCTTGCAGAACAGAGATTTATGGTAGTACTTAAGACTTTGTCTTCAGAATGTTTCCTGGATTTAACTCATCCCCCTGGATCCAAACTCCTTTAGGCAAGTCGAAGATTTGCTGAGTACAGTCTGGGAGAAGGAACGGACCTATTTGTAAATTTAGACCAGCTATGCTGAAATAAGAGGGACTCCATGGAGGAAGTAAACAAGGGAAAATATTTTAAAATGCTGACAGTTTGTCTCAATATCTATCAAGTGAAATTTAGCAATGTATTTTTAAGTGGTGCTTGTTTAAAAATTGGCCTACATTTACAAAAACATAAGTAAAAGCTGTAATCTTCCAGTGAGACACCTTTCATGTCAAATTAATATGTCTTGGATTTACCCAAAATGAAATTGGGGCTGAGGGGAGTACGGAGAGAAGTTTGTTTTGCCACAAACACTGTGTTTCAATGGGAATTTATTTTTCTCCTATTTTTTATTCTGCCACAGCCCTGAAAAATGTATTATTTTCCCAGTTCTAAACCCTGCTGTTACCCACATAAAGTGACATATCCACCTTTTATTGGCAGGGGGAGAGGAGTAAGACGGGACAAGTGCTTGAGCGAACCTGGGCAGCTTGGTGGTGGAGCCGGGATCAGAGCTCGAGAGGGCTGGCCGAGAGTGTCGTGCATCCCCAGAGCAGCCCAACCGCTTCGATGACTCGGGACCTCTGCAGTCTGCTCTGTTGCTTGGCCAGCCAGGATTTCTTCCCTGTTCAGGTTGTTTTCTCCTCTACAAGTGAAACGGGAACAGCAAAATAAGGGATATGCTAGACTGTAGCCACACAGGCCAGGAGAAGGTACCCAGCAGTGTGCAAGAGCCATCCCCGAGGCTGCTCCGGGCTTGCTGCAGTGCTCAGAGCTGCGGGCACGAAGCCACCCATTGGGTTTGGCCACATCTCGTGAGCTACAAAACCACAGCCAGCCGAGTCCCACAGAAACCCTGCGTGATTCTTCTCCGTGGCCAGGAGGGACTGTTAACCAGGGGAGACGCGCTGAGGCAAAGACATCGATGTTGGCTTTATGCAAGTGAGGAACAGCGTGCAGCCTAAAAAGGAATATCATTTTTTATGGTGCACATTAATCTGCCCTGTTTTCCATACCAAAAAATGCCTGTAACTTTTGCCAGATGGCCTTGCCTCATTCCTTCTTTAAAAATGCATTCACAGTTATGGCCACGATTGCAGCTAACAGACAGTTTAGGAGGAATAAACAAGGCTGCGCGTTTTGGGGCAGCTCCGATGGTTTCCCGGTGTCCCTGTGACTCATCCCTGGAAGGGGTCATCCTGGAACACACCCCTCTAGTGATGTGATCGTGGTACAGTCCAAAGAGTTTCAGGTTAAGAAGCGGAGGGGATCCTTGTTTGCAGGAGAGATTTGAGGAGTTTGATGTGCCTCAGAGCAGCGGCTGGCCTCAGCCAGGTAAGTGCCAGAGGTATCACGTAAACTTGTATTTACTCGATTTGCTGCTTTAACACCAGCAGGAAAACTTTCTTTATTGCTAGTAGTCAGCACTTCAGCCGGCACAGTGAGAAAATGTTTCTGCGTACTGCAGTAATGTATATTTGTTTGAGAAAGTCACATCTCGATTGTATGCCAAACTCGGGGCCAGCTGCTCCTTGTGATTTATTGCAAAAGCATGGTTGCTCTCATTTCTTCTGTGCTAACCAGCCTAACGCTAATGGGATTGTTCTCTCTACAGGCACGATTAACAGATACACCAAATAAAGGGGCCAGACTGATAAAGTGTGATTTAATCTTGTTGCTCCCATAATTCTGTTTTTCATACTGCCTCTGCTCTTCTAAAAATATTGTCAGTTCTCACTGTGGATTCTTTTACTGTAAAATTCAAGTGAGTATTTTACTTTTTTTTTTCCTTTTATGCGTAAAGGAGAGACTTTTGTACTGTCTCTGAAATAGTAGGTAAGTGGATACACAGAATAATGGAGTGGCCTGATGAAAGGGAGTTATCCATTAGTTTGTGATTGCAGTCCTCTTCTAAACTGACTTATGAAGAGGCAGAAGGGGGAGAGAGACTGGAATTCTGAAGAAACTTGTTTCCTGTGGTTTCAGCACAAAAGCGTGTCTTGAACGAATCGGCCAACGTTGCTGTTAGCGTTTTCAGCGCAGCTTGTTAAAGATCTCTCAACTTGCATTAATGTTAATTGTAATAATCCGTACCTACTGTGCTAAATTACTTCCTTTTGAATTCAGAACTTAAATTGTACCTCTCTGTAGTTAACTGCAAATCTACCTGGATTTAGGGCTATTGTGGAAGTCACTTAAGTTTTTAAAGTCACTTAAGTTTTTAAAGTATGCAGACTCCTGTGCACTTTGGAAGATCCTGTCTGCCTGCAGATCCTTAAAAATGTGGCCCCTGGCCACTTTGTGTCTTCATTTGATTATCAGTGAAAAGAGATAGACTAATCTAGTTAAAAGGTCGAGATGGACTGAGATTAGGCGATATACACAGCCCGAAACAGGTCCCCTTTCGCTGGGGAAAGAAAGCGGCAGCAGAAATTGCCAAGTAGCAGTATCTGTCCTGAGGCAGAAACAGCCAAGCTGCGTACTTGCTTCTGCGTCCCGTGGAAAAGGTAGCACGTGCAGTGTTGGCGCACAGACGCTTAGAAAAGCGTTTTAATCTTACATGTCAGCTTCAGACAAATGCATGCGTGTTAATTGTAGTGCTGCATGTTCATTCTCGTGCTGGCGCCCTGCCCTAAGGGTCAGGGACGCACCAAAGTCCCCGTGTGCAGGGTGTTTTGGACTTCCGAATGTTGGGTGAGATCTAATAAGCGACTTGAGTGTCTGTGGACTTGAGTCCCTCTCCAGGCTACTGCTAAAATACGTAAACATTTAGGTGTCTCATATTTCTATGGTTCACGTAATTTGTATGTGCCCTTGACTGTCTCATGCTTAGTAGGATGGAGCCGCTTGGCGCATTGTGGGTTTCCTGTCGTGGCTGACAAACAAGTCGCCGCCCTGGCTAAGCCCCCTTAGGGTCTTGGTGCAAAAGGCGTTCCAGGAATTTACTTGTTATCTACTGACAGGATTAAGGGTCTCACAAAACACAGTGGCAAAAAACACTTTTCTGATTTGGTTGAAGGCAGTATGTGCTGCTTTTTTGACGGTAGCCTTGGCTTGAGAGCGCTCACTGCAGAAGTGAGAGACTGAGATGCAGTCCTCCCTTCTGCTTGAACAGTGTGGGGCTGCCGGGCTCCTCTCGGGAGAAGGTCCTTGCCTGGGACCACTGGCAGCTCTGCCGGCTGAAGGTGCGCACAGCAGCGGGAAGGTTGCCTGGGAGTGGGGTTGAGCTCCGTCTCGCTGCAGCCCAGTCCTTGCAGCGTTCAGTCGAAAGAAAGGAGCCCTGGGTTTTTGTCTCTGCTCTCAAGGCAGTTGATGTGTTTTAGCCAGGTTTCATCTGAAAGCCTCTGAGTTGGAGGCAAGAATTCTGCACTGTTCTTGACTCTACTCCTTTTTAAATCTGTGCCTTTGCCCAAGGGAAGACAGAGGAAACGGTTAAAAAATATTTCACAGACAACTACGTAGTGATAAACTTTCGTAGGAAGGGCAAGGAGGGGAAAGAGTGGAGTAAAGCCAAAGTTTGCCCTCTCTGTGCATGTTCTGCCAGCACTTTTGAGTGGTTTTGACCATAAAGAACAGCATCATACTGCACGGTAATCTGATGTGCACATACACGTTGATTTGGCTCAGTTTTCAAGCTGAAAGGGTTTGTTTGTTTGTTTTTCTTGACCACAAATTCGGCCTCTTTCTGCTCACGCCAGATGGAGTCCTTCCCTCTTAGGCATAACCACCTAAGAGTGGCTTTTCTTAGCTGCTGTTTGCGCCACCTGTCCAGCCCTAGCTCCATCAGTCCATGCCCTCGAACGCTGGAGCAGCTGTGTTTGTAGCTGTGGGATGGATGGGCTGCAGCTTGCAATTAGCCAGCGCCACACACCCCACAGGCTTGCAGCGTGTTTGCAGGGCCTGCTGCAACTCCAGCACTGCCTTCCTGCAGGGTACGGGTGGCTTTTACATTTTATCCCACCAGGAACTGACCAGGGGAGAAGAAGGAGAGAGAGCAGGATGGTGCTTCACCCCTACATGTGCAATTTCTCTCTCACTTTCTATGCATCTGCGAGATTATTACTACGCTGCTGGTCAGTACTTGCCACAAATTACTGCTGCCACATGCCACTGCTCAGTGACTTAAGAGTTCTTGTCACCTCACCACCATCAGCACGCACACATACTAGCAGGGGGTCAGGCAGCTCCGTGCAGGGCTCATGTTTAACAGGGACAGTGTGTGGACTGCAGACTATGAAAATAAATGGCAGGATTGCTGGTAGAGCTCCTGTTCAGTTCCTGGGCCTACTCTGAAGGCAGGCTTGATTCTTGAACCTTCACCTTCTCTCCTGAGCTGGCTGGCTGGACGCAGACTTTGCAGTACAAGCCGCATTCTGGCTTCCAGCTGAGGTGCTATATGAAGTCTCTCTGTCCTGGTGAGACCTGAAGGAAAAGCCTGATTAAACACCATCCTGTTGCAGTATCAGAGCAGGAACGCATGCTGTGATTTTTTTTTTTTTTTAAATTCCAGCAAAGCTTTGGTTTGTAGCCAGCTGATTCTGCTGGACCTTGATACCATCCACGAATGTGAACAAGTGGTGGCCAGTCCTGTTCCTGGTGTCTAGTTAGTCTCCCCACCATTTCCTGGTGTCTAGTTAAGTCTCCCCACCATTTGTGCTCAGAAATAATAGAATATGGATGGATATTCTCACTAGAAAATATATGTGAATTTTCCTCTCTCAGTTATAACGCTAAGTAAGTATGGCAAAACTGCACAGCAGAGCAACGTTGGAACCTTTTTACTTGTTTGAGGAGACAAACTCTTATGTCTCTCTCCCTTAGCAAATTCTTGGGCTGAGTTAAACAGAAAAACCTTCATATGTCCATTAAAGTACCGGATTACAGAGATCATAAAATAGTCAAATTAACCTTGTTTTGATGAAAAATCCAAAAGCTGGATGAGAGACGAAGGGCTAACGCGGCACAATCGTGCTATCCCCAGAGCCTAAACCATGTAATAAAACTTGGTATTTCCTATGAGCAAGGAGAGTTTTGCCGTCCAAAACAACTGAGAAGCCCTAGTTCTGCAGGCATTAATACTGGATCTAGGTGCTATTAAATTATCCTGTGCAGCAAATTTGATCTGAATTAAACATGCTCTTGCTAGTGTAATTGCATGTCCACACAAATGGATTTAATGCTGACTTTATGCTTTTATGTTGACTTATGCAGAAGAACAGACATATGCAATGCAGCATAAAGACTCCCAGTGCAGTTAGTGTGTTAAACTTTTTGAAGAATTTGAATGAGTAAACGTCTCCAGTTGCAATGCTTTGTGTTGTGGGCAGTGACACTTCTGATGCATCAGCAGGAGCGTAACACCAAGATCACCAAGGCACAGTGTGTGAAGGGGAAGTTTTGCAACTACTTTGAATTCCCCTGCACCCGTAATACAAATTTGCAAAGTCACAGAATGACAAAGCAATAACCTTTTCCAGATGGAGTCCTGGAAGTGTCTTCAATTAGGAGTTTCAAAGGGAAACAATTCAGAGGGACAGTAATTTAAATCTTTTGGCCACAGGGTTGCTTTTTTGGAAGCACTCATAATTTAATTGCTTGGAAGCGAGCTATGAGCTCAGAGGAGGAGATGTTTGCAAAAATATCAAACAGCTATGTTTGCAAACAGTCAAATACTTGAGTCTCTGTTTTGCTGTCATGGTCCAAACAGTGGCTCTAAGGGTGCGTGATAAATAGGTAATAAAAGAACAGAGTTTAGCGTTGGGCCTGCCTTACATATTGTCAAGGCAGGCACGCAACTGCAGTTACAAAAGAGAAACCCAAGAACAAGGTTATTATTAGTATTGGTGCTGTTATTGTATGAATGAAGCAAATGCAAGCTTGATACTAACTAATGGATAATCTTAAAATCAAGGTGCTACCCCAGAGCATGGCATACACTGTGTTCATCCGTTCCAGCCTCTCCCTGACCATCTCAGCTGGGGCTTCTAGAAATCAGGAGTGTGGTCCCAAGGTTGGGGTGTGCCTGAGCTTAGGCAGTTTCATCCCAGGATCCGCCTGCTGGAAGAAGCATCATCTTGTTCATAGCTGTGTTCAACTGTGGAGATGAATACAGGCTAGAAATGCGCTTTACCCTTTTAGTCTTGGTGCTATGTACAGAAATTCCTTTGAGTCCTGCAACTGGAACAGAAAAGCTGGATGCGTTAAAATGACTGTGTTATAGCATGCCAAGGCTCTTCCTTGAAGAGTGGTTTCATCTAGAACGCAAGGTTTACTGCAGTCACTTGGCAATGTCTCGGAATGTCTTTGGAACCGAAAGTGCTGGTTTTTGTAAGGCCAACCCAGCTCGGTGCCATCCCTGCACCCTTCCCGCAGTCCGCGGGAGGGAGGCTTTTGTGTATGGGCTAGGACAGGCTGGCAACGGGAGTGCAGCGCTGAGGAGTGCAGTGAGCTTAACAGTTGCACTTCTCTCTCCAACTTTCTGCGGTGCGTGATGCTTAGTAATGCCGAGTAACAAAAATGGGCTGAGAGGTGGTAACTTTCTCTGTTAGTTTTGGTGTGCTTATTCTGTGAATTTAATAGCAACTGGGCTGTAATTTTCACTTACACGCTTGTCTGGGCAGTTAGTCACCCTTGTTTGTTGTGGGTCTTCTGTGCTGCAGCTGGAGAAAGGAAAACGCGAGTGTAAAGAAACACTGTTTGGGGGCGGCTCTCCAGAGCGGGAACGATACTTGAAGCTCATTTTAATGCTCTTGGGAAGAATTGGATTTCAAGTGGATGTCTCTTTAATTTAAGACTGTTAATAGTGCCAGGAGCTGGCATTTGCAACTATGTTGGATGTGATTTAGCTGTACTCGTGCTTGTTCCGACAGGGGGAAGCATCTCTAAGTGTTAACTGTAAGTATGAATGCAAAAATGCTTCTGTGGTCAGGCTGAGGAGGGGACTGTGTGAGCAGAGCCTTACTGAGAAGGGGACCTGCGCTAACTTGTTGTTGCTGCCTGTTCTGCTGAAATCCTTTTTCCGATCAAAATAGGAATCTCCCTGGAAAGAGAGGATTAGAGAAAGACTTGAAAGCTCAGTATTTGAAAGCTGAGAGATGCAGGACCTCCTCTACGGCTGCTGACATCAAGGGGACCTGTCGTGGCTCAGTAAAACTTTGGGGTCGTCTGCGGAGGTGTAGGGCTACCCAGAGAAACAATGCGCTCAGGAGCTCAGCTCAGAGTCTGAAAAGCTCAAAGGAGCCAAACTGCAATTGAATATGGTAAAGGAGGGACACCATGACCAAAAACAGAGAAATGACTGAGCTGTAGGGCTGCTTGATCCCCCTGCCCCAGGAGTCGTCCCTTTCTCTGTGTATTGCTATAGAGCAGTAGAGGCTCTCCAAAGTGCGGCACAGTATTTTTAGGACAGTACTTCTTAGCCCTTGTTATGCTGTGCACAGCTTGCTCTGTATCACATGACGGCATTGGGAGCCCTCTGAAGAGAGGCTGCCAAGCCTTGCTTCGTGTTTTCTCCAGTGCAGCTGTACATTATGAGTGTCAGCAGAACCAAAGGTAAATCTGTTGCACTGAAGAGCGGGGGAAGCTGTGCTACTGCGTACTGTGAACTCAAGACAGGAGGAGGGAACATGGTTCTGTATTTTGGGAGCTTGTTCATTCAGCTGAGAGTCAAAAACTGGGATCTCTTTCAAAAACGAACCCTGGAGCCAGGTGCCTGCTCTCAGTCTCAGCCAAGTTAGGCAGTTTGCTGGTAGGTGAACACCTCGGGAGAGGAAGGGCACAGCTGTGGTTTCCTCAATCTCTGTGCTCTAATTGCTAAGCTGTTAATATAGAAACTGGACTAACTTCCTTTACTGTGTACTTTTCAACAAGAAGAGAGACCTTTGTTATGTTTAAAAGAGTGTTTTTGAGGTCCTGCCAAGGTGGGTTCCTACCAGTGCACCAGACAGCGTTGGGATTTCGATTCAGCTGTGATGCTCCATGTTTAATGGGTAGATTAAAAGCAGTTAACAGCCAGGCTGGGCAGCAGTGGAAGCCAAAGTCCCTTTTTAAGACATGCATTCGCTGTTTGCTCAGGGTGGCATAGAGAGCCTGGAGAGGGGCGTGTTAACAACCTCATAACAACCTCATTAGAGAAGCCTCCTTCCTTGCCAGTGTTCCCCCTGGTGAGTGCTGTCTTGTGGAGCCGAGGGTGGTGAGGCAGACAGCAGCTTGGTTTCGCGTGCTGTGTTTTATGTCCGTGTTCTGTGCGTTGTTGCAAGACTAGCCATTGTGTCCTGGCTGGGGGGGGAGTTAATCCTGGAAGGTCTCACGTTGCAATCCAGCAGATAGAAAGGGGGAAAGGGTGGGGGAATGAGGTCACTAAAGACCTATCTCTGTGAATTAGGCAATGACAGCTGAAAACCTTATCACCCTGGGGCTATTTTAAAAACAAGCATATCTTGCAAATAGGCTCAGTTTAGAATCTGTGTTAGCTGGTGGGGAATTTTTAATAAGCAAGAATGCCAGTTATCGTGAGATAATCTATCTTCCACCCAAATTAGACTTTTTTTTTTGGCCCTCAGCTATCTTGGTATATTCAACAAGTTGTTATGCACTTGACTTTGAAGAACTGGATGGTGGGAGGGGGGAAACAAGTCTATTTATTTTGCCTTGTCTTGGGAGGCCATCTGCCAAATGAGATGCCTGGTGTGACTTTTTCAGGATAATTAACAAGAAATGGCCTTTCAGAAAAAGGAAATTGTTAGAAATGGCCCACTAGCAGTGAGCCATTGTGCTTCTGAACAATTCCTTTATGTGCAGTTTTGGTCTGTTGAAGCTGGATAACACAGTCAATGAGGGATTCTCTGCCCTGGTTCTGAAAGGGGAAGCCCTGGCCTCACTGAAGGCATGGGAATTTTTCCACTGATTCCAGCAATATCAGGACTTGACTCAAAAGTCATTAGAGTTTGAGGTGTGCAAAATTTATTGCTGGAGTTTTGCCCTGAGGAAGGAGGGGAATCTGCTAGGCTGGCAGTTAAGGATCTGGCTCACTGAAGTGTGAAGAATTAACTGGTAGAAATCAGGAACTTCTTACAGGGAGGTAACCAGCTGGTCGTTGTACGTTACTTTAAATGTAACTACGGGACTTTGGAATGGGTGCAAGAGCTGCAACAACGTAGAAGGACGGTCCTGAATACTCACCCCGTTCCTGTGAGTGAAGGCACTAAAGCAGCATTTTTCATCCTTGAAGGACCATCTAACATTTTTTGGTGGGGAGGGGAGAGGGAGAGAAAGAGGGAGGATGTTAAAACCATCGCTTGATTCTATTGGCCACAGTAGCTTTCCCTCAAAGAACAAACACCATGATAAATTCCACATTTCCATGTGTTCCTCAATACTCTTCTGTACTCCCCCATTTTTTGCCTGCTTGGCTGCATAGAAAGGCTTGTGCCTAGCCTGGCTCAATTTTCTACAAGGCTGTGGAATCTCATGTGATTTGTTCTGCTAGCAGCTCCTGGAGCACAGGCTGAGACCCCTGCACCAGGACACAACAAGTAGGCTGCCAGGACAGCATGATACCATGCTCCATTGCATGGAGTAGGATAACCTGTCTTTATTACGTTATTCTTATTTTAGTCCCTATTATTGTAGGTAACTCAAGGAAGGAGATATACATCCCTAACCAGTGGTAGGACGGAAGAGAAGAGAAATTGATGTACAAGAGTGTTCCAAGCAGTAAGTTCAGATACTCCCTTCGTTCCCTCTCTTCTAGCACTTTACAAAGATGGGAGCATCTCTCGCGTTCCCCAGACTTCAAACTATCCTAAATGATTTCTGTAGTTAATTTCTGATTTGTAGCATGTTCTTCAGCAATTTATTTGAGCCCTGCGGCTGTGACCGTAAACTTGCCAGACTAGACAGTCATGATTCTTGGAATCAGGGACTGGAAACAAATTTTTTTAGTTCCCATCAATATTTGCAAATATTTGCTGCTTCTGCGAATGCAACTCCCTGGAACATAACATAAAGATCAAAAACAGTAATACCAGCCAAAGCATTGTCACTTAAATTAAGATGGATAGCTGTGGAAATCTGTTTTCTGTTTTTCTCCCATTTTCCATTCTTTGGGCGTAAGAGTTGAAGTAGATAATGAGAGCTTCAGTCGCCAGAAGAAGAAGGTACTACAGTTCAATGAGGACAGAAAGACGGTCCTGTCCTTCACAGAAAGCACAAACTGAGAGCCAAGCCTCACTCTGTTTTCTAGGTTACCTTTAGACTAGTTACCATTAGACTAGGCAAAATTTTGTCCTTGTACCTGGTCTAGACTCTCTACTGTTTTTTTATGGTTAGAGTTCTCTCCAGCCAAAAATATCACCCTAATGTCATGCTAATATATATAATCTTCTTGTTTTTTAAGGTTTTCTAGTCTAGCCCTTAGCATAATCTAATTTATAATCCTATGTTTACTTGAGATCAATAGTTAATTCTGTTTAGAACAACTAGTTTTGTGCTCTGTTGTGAAAGGGTAGTGAGTAGTATTACCTGTGCGCTTTAAAGAGACTTTATAATTTACACAAGCCAATGTTCATCTTGTCTAGACAGAGGGATATGTCTTCATCAGTGCAACTCTTCAAAGATCAGAAGTACCAGGAGCTTAAAGGGCAGTGTATCGAACAGAGACGGCTCTTTGAAGATCCTGAGTTTCCAGCGTCAGATGAGTCCCTTTTCTATACGAGGGCCCCACCAAGGAGAGTTGAGTGGAAGCGCCCAAAGGTAATTGACACTCTCCTTGTGATGAGGTGCTGTTCGTATTGCTCCACTCCTACTGTCTTCTCAGTGCTAAGACACAGCTTGTGAGTCTATTCCCCCTCCCTTTCCCCATTCATTTCTCATCAGTATTTGATTCAGACAGCAGCCCCTCAGTGTCACATTGCTGTCCAAAATGAAAGTCATGCTTTACTGCATAAAGATAGAAAGAAAGGAAGCGTTCTGCATGGCGTACTCATGCTTTTTACTGTTGACAGCTCTCTACTAACAAGCGACAACGTGAGGTGACTCCGGTCTTAGCGCCGTTTAAATCAGCCCTCTCTATTTAATTGAAAATACTTATCTGTAATAGATCAGTCAATGCAGGAATATAATGTGGGACTAAATTCTTAATTCGCTGGGTCATACCTGTCTAGGTTGCTGTGTTGACAGAAGCATTTCAGTAATGTGTTAAGATTTCTTAACTGAAGTTTCTGTTCAATATTCATCACTTCTGAGAGCCCTATTGTGTAGGCACAGTAATTACAATATAAGATATGAACTTTAACTATCCTATCTAATGTATTTTTCTCCAAATATGTCTAATGTCAAGTATAGCTCCTTTTTTTTTTAAAAAGACGATATAACTCATGCAAAAAATACTATAGGAAATTAGATCTTATCAGCTGAACAGATGCAATCTTCCTACCTGAAATGCTAGAGACAACTCAGATAACTTGTGCTTTATTAAAATATATGGGGAACACAAACCTTTTAGTAGCAAGGGGAAGTTCCTCCAATTGCAGATAGCTGGCTAGGTTGTTTATACATTGAAACATATGGTTAGGAATTTTTCTTAGAGGGAGAGAGTAGGAAAGAGAAGAGCCACAGTCTGCCCAGTGAGAGGGCTATCTGATCCAGCAAATAGCCGGGTACCATCAATGGAGTGGTCTCCCTGCACCAAAAATCTCGTTGAGTATTGCTAACTGCCACCAACAGAAGTTGAGAACCCTCATTATCAGCACATACCCACTTTTGGCTCAGAGCAAATGGCTTTGTTTCCTTTCATGGAGAACTAACCTGTGCTTCCAGAATCTGCCTGTTCTGCTCTACACAGTGCAAAAAATAAGAGAAAATCATGTGTGTGCAGTTGGTTTTGTCTCCCAAATCTGCTTTGTGTATCAACTATGCTGGAACTACAAAGCCTAGCTACATACAGTCTGTAGTGGGTTTGGATGGCTTCTGCAGTATAAGGCAGAAGGCCTTACACTGGGCTCCCAGGCTACTCCTGGGGAGTACTCTACTGCATGGATGTGCTTCGGGCACCTTCAGGATGGAACAGATCCAGCTGATCCAGAGAAGAGAAGGTGCTGTCCCCAGGCGGTGTGTATGTATGAAATCCTTCATTCTGTAGTGAACTGAGTTTACACTGAATCCCTCATCCTCTGCTGTATTTCAGAGAGGTTCTGGTAACACCTTAACAGCAAGGGTTGTCTGGAGTGATTGGAGAGTTTTCCTTTAGTGATTGACATCAGCTCTGGTCTCTGCATGGCTATGCTGAAGTTACACTGCATTTTGACATTGATTTCTGTAAAACCTGCCTTTCACCACCACCAACTTCATACTCAAAGTTAACAGCTATTGTCTGCACACAGCCAATAATGCTCATGTCTATTTGTCATCTTTATTAGCATCTTAACAGGAACCAAATATCATGTCATTCCTGTCTGATTGTTACTAATGTACTGCACATTTCAAACTGTAAATGTTACTTGTGTTTGGGATCTGTTAATTAGTTTGCTCTGAGGTTTTATGCATCACTTATCTTGTATTTCTAAAACAATTCATAGCCATGAGCAAATAATTTAGAGGAACATAAAATCATTCTCAACTCTGACCATGTGGTTTTCCATCAGAGAGTGTAATCTGTTTTCATGCTCCGACAAGTGTAGTGAAGAGGAGAATGAAAGCCTCTTAGCCAGAGGCACACAGTATTTTTATCCTTAATCGTGATGAATTTGGCCTCAACCTTATCCATATCCACTGTTGGGATTAGGCTTAATCTTCTGGAAGCACAAACCTGGGTGGCTTTTCCTAGAAGACTCAGTGCCAATGACAACATGATCTACTTCACACACAGCTGCAACTGTCCCTTGTCGTCTGTGATAAGGGGAGGCAGATGAGGCTGACCAAGGCTGCTCTGTACTTGCCAGGATGGTGTTAGACTCTTTTCTTGGTGGTGTGGATTTCTCATAGCAGCTTGAATACTGCAATTTTAGTTAGCAGAGGAAAAGATGCTTTTCTGCTTCTGTTTTTAATTTTCCAAGTAAGAGGTGAGACTGAAGAACAGGGAGAGTGAAAATAACCCCAAAACAAATTTGGAATAAATGCAGGCATTCCGAAGTCTTTGGGTTTATTTTATTTCTTTAGTGCTTTCCTGTTTACTGGAGTCTTTTCTCCCTTCCCAGAATGGCAAATACCATGAAACCATTCATAATCAGGTCACGGAAAGGCTTTGTACCTCCTAAGAGATGTGAAACAAGATCCAGACTCAAGGCAAGGATGCCATTTTAAGCCATTCTTTTGTGCTACCCCAAAGCTGTGCTTTTCTTGTTCTCCTTCCTTGCTCCAGGGCATAGCTGCCCTCAGGGCCCACCCGGAGCTGCTCCTGCACTTCTGTAGAGAATAGCTAGAGTACCCCAACCTTGCCCTTCTGGAGTGGGAAAGGGAGTAGATGACAGGAGGTGGTGGACCACTGCCTGTGCTCTCATGGCGGGCCTGGAAGCCCCTTATAAAGATAAGGGGCTTATCTTTATGGAGTAGAGCAGAGGTGAGGATCTGGCTCGCCAGCATCTGTTCGTGGATTATGTCCTCTCTGCCATGTGGAACAATATTGTACTTAAAGATGCTGAATGCCTAACTGTCCTTTTGGACTGATGGATTTCCCAGAGCGTTTCTTTTCTGGAGAGAAAAATGGCCTGGCAAGATGAGAGAAAGACAGGGGCCAGAGCTGTCAACTGCTGAGACAGATGCTGAGCAGATCACTTGGCCATCCTACCTCCCCAATTCATCCAAGAGCTACTGCTGTTGTTCCCTGCCTCCACCTCCCTGGATGTGTGTGCAACACCTTCAGTGTGAAGGAGCTAAATGATGAAACCGTTAGTCCTATCCTGCTTCTGTCTAGTTATGCAGTGGTACTTGTGTAGCCTTGCCAGATGCTCGTACTTGTGTGCCAGTACACGCAAGCAGTTTTTTGCTTTGAAAAGCCACCTGTGAGGCTGTCTGAGCAGCTGAGGAATGCTGCCCAGTGCACGCAGAGCTGAGAGCTGCTGCTGCAGTTGCTGTCACTGATGCTATCCGAACAAGTACGTTGGGATCTGGGAATCCAAAGCTGAGGAGAGGTGAAAGCTGGTATCCTAGTTTCAGCTTGCAAATATATTCACAGTTTGTTCAACCCCTAAGTGGTTGGGTGTTGGCCAGACAGAACAAATGCTTAGGAAGCTGTGTCTGTATATTCAAAAGGTTATACTCTGCCCTGGTGAAGAAAGGAGTGTGCGAGTGAGAGGGAGAAAAGAGGAAGAGGTTAGAGAGTTTCTTCACTCTCTGTTTTCCTCCTTGCTTCTGCACCTGCAATGCAAATATGTTTTGTTTGCTGGTTCCAGTCAGATTCGCAGCAATAGGTCATTAATAATCTGACATTAATTAGGTGTTATGTATTTTTAAATCCCTTTGGGTGAGGGAACAAAGCCAAGGTGGTGTAACTTTTATGGCACCCCAGTGTTAAGATACTAGAGAACACAAAAGGCTCTGCCAAATTACAGTGCAGTCTCTCTCGCATGATGAGACTTTCCAAGGAGAAAGGCAGCTTGGCATTTCCTAATGGAAGGATCACCCAGCAAATAAGAGGGATGCTCACAGCTCATGTGCAGTACTGAGCCTTGGTTTCTTTGGGTGCAACGCGGCATGGTACGCAGTTGGCAGCCCAGGCTAGCAGGTTATGATTGTACGCAGGAGCTTTTTGGTTTGCCGATGCTGATGTATTTTAGTGCTGGGAAGTAAAGGAATTCAAAAGGTCTGATTACCCAGGACATCTGCTAGAGCTGGCTGAAACATGGATTTGGTATGTTGTAGAAAACAGTAGTCTGAAATTTCATATTTTATTCTAAATAGGGGAAAGAATTCTAAATGGCACGTTCTGGCCTGAATGCGCCAGAAAATTTGCCTAAAAATTATTTCAGATCGCATTTTGCTTTGTTTCCATGTCTTTTTGCTTCATGACACTCTCCACATCAGTGGTGTGTTATGAAATATAAAAATAGTGTAAGAAGATTGTTTTTTCACTTCTGGAAAAAAATATTTGGAGGTGTTGGATTCAATTTCGTAGAAAAAGTCACCTTTGTCAGAGTGACGTTTACTGAGAGAATTGTTGACAGACGACTCTGGCGTCAGACTCCTGGCTACGCTTTCCCAGGCAGTCGGCGTCTCGCCCCCTGCCTGCTAATGCCCCGTAATGCCCGTAATCCCCGTAATGCCCGCTGCAGTGTCAGCGAAGGGAGGGCTGTCCCTGCCAGCAGGGATCACAGCCGTTTCATTGCCCAGCCCAGGGGAGTTTATGGGCTCTTCAGGCAGGACTTACCTTGCCTAAAATTTAGATGCTGATAGTGAATATCTGATATCAGCCAGCTGCCACCAGCTCCCATTGTAGGCAGCAGAGAGGAATCAGTGGATTTAGGGTGGGATTCAGCTGACCTTGAGATCTCAGCTGCAGGCTGAGATGGAGCGTACCCTGCAAATGCCTGGTCTCTGCTGACCAGGAGTTCAGAGGGCAAACTCGGGTTTTGGCGGTAGCAACATGAGCGTGCATGAGCTTCTCAGAGGTGCAGCATCTTCCAGAGCTCATCACTGTGCAAGAAGCCTCTTTGCAGTGACATGTCTTTGTGAGGTACGTTTTTCTCTCTCCTTCACCCCCCACACCCCGTAGACAGAGAGGTGTTTGTACTGCTCCTGCGCTGTTCCAGGCTGCCACT